CCCGCGTTGCGGGCGCTCCCCGCTCAGGCCGCGCACGGCCGCTTCTCTGAACTGAAGCAGTGCCATCTTGTGGCCCGTCTTCCTTCAGCCCTGGTTTTATTTCAGCTTTTCTCTCTGTTCAGGTTCAGAAAGACGTTCTTTGAATCTGAAGCAGCTGGTCCCCGTTAGCAGAGAGAAGGGTGCACTGGTATCTGGCGGGTGGTGAGTCCGGAGCTCTTCACATTGGCAGATGCCTGAGAAGACGGTATGGATTGTCTTCGTTCGCCGAGTTTCCTGCAATTGGGGGCAGGCAGTTTTTGTTGGTTCCTTTTCTTAAATCACTGCCCCTCTCAGACCTGGGCTCCATCTCACACCTGTTCTGGGCTTAGGCTTCTCTTTCACCAGACGGTGGGTCCAAACACCAAGTGACGCGCACACTGCTGCCAGAGCTCCTGCGTTCATCCCAGAGGTGAATTCTAATGACACTGTGGGGTGTTGGATAGGGTTTCTAGAAGAACAAACATATTGCTTAGAGTTACTCAGAGGGGTACACAATGTTGGTGTGATGCCGTTAATCGCCTATTAAGGGTAGAGACCATGAATACATATAATGTGGGTTCATGCCCACCCAGGGAAACGGCCTAGGACAAATTTCTTAGTTCTGTTTATGTAGGAAGCCCTAAAAACACTACAAAGCCTTCTCCAATTAATTAGGAAATGAAAAATTTATGTGGAAGAACCATATTCTCAAAAATAACTCAGATGATTAGTACATTCAGATATCAGAGTAAATATAAGTATTTTTGCTAAGATGAAGTTGAGCTTACAAGGAAATGCTATTGAGGAAAAACTGTTAGAATGCCCTTTGACATTTTGGGATTGAGCTTGAAAAAGATGCTAAGCCTACATTTTCATAATATATTAACCAGTAATTAAGAATTTTCTTCCCACCCAAACACTAATTTGAAAGAATTTGTGCACCCCTGTGTTTATTGCAGCATTATTTACAATAGCCAAGATACGGAAGCAACTCCAGTGAATGAAAAAGTTGTGGTACACATGTACAATGGACTATTACTCAGCCATGTATAGATCTAGAATATTATTCTAACTGAAATAAGTTAGAGTAAGAAAAATACCATATGATTTCACTATCTGTGGAATCTAAAGAACAGAACAAAAAACCAAAATTGAAGCAGACTCATAGAACAGAGAACAGACTGATGGCAGCCAGAGGGGAGGGGGTTGGGGGAGAGGGAGGAAGGTGAAGGGATTAAGAATACAAATTGGTTGTTAAAAAATAGTCACTGGGCCCTGGCTGGTGTTCTCAGTGGTTAGAGCATTGCCCATACACCGAAGGGTTGCCGGTTCCATCCCAGGCACCTGTGCGGCTCTGGTGCGGGAGGCAACCAATCGACATCTGTCTCTCTATCCTCTCTCTCCCTTCTACTCTCTCTAAAAACCAATAGAACAAATATCCTCGGGTGAGGATTAACAGGAAAAAGTCACGTGGATGTAAAACACAGCATAACGAATATAGTCAATAACATTTTAGTAAGTATGGCGCCGGAACTGCCAGGGAGAACACGTTGTAAAGTATGTGATTATCTAACCACATGCTGTACACTGACACTAAAACAAAACAGCATTGAATGTAGACTGTAATTGAAAAATAAAATTTAAAAAATAAGTAATTCCATTTAATATAAAGAATTTTCTTGCCTTTTCCAGAAAAGGGGGGAGGAGAGATTATAGATCCACAATAATGGATTTGTTATGACATTTGAGGGCAAATTAAAGACTTTTTTAAAAAAATAAAGAGTAGTTTAAAGTTTAGTTTCTGTGACAGTAGTTCGTAGTCACTTCTTTGAATGTCTCCACTAATAACGTATTCAAGATAAAGACAAAGTTGTTCTTGAACATTTCTCATTGGTGGAGATGTGTTTCCAGTAATTATTTGACCCTTCTCTGGACTCTGGTGTTGAGTGGAACCGTCACAAGGAGGAATCGGGTGAGAAAGCATTCCAGGTGGAAGCTTTGGATTTCCCTGTGTTTACAAGGACATTCCTATGTTGAGCACAGCTGAGTTTCTAAACACACCAGTCGTTAGAAGTTCAAGCGGCTCAAAATGCTTAGAATGTGCTCTACTATCACTAAGCGCCCTCAGGGCTAGAAGAGACAACTCGGTCTTCTGCTCATTCATAACATGGTGACCACAACACAGCTCTGATGTGGGATCATTCTGGGTGCTTTATATGGGGCAAGATCCTGGGCAAGAACAATCGTTCGAATCAAAGTCTCAAAAGATGAAAATGGTTTTGGAGCAGTGCTATCGAAAACAAAATGAAGTTTCAGGAAGAAAACTGTTGACTTTAGCACCCTCTTCCCAATTATCAGATTAGATACTTTTGTTAAACTTCTGCTTGGGGCTAATTTTAACTTTATGGTATATTTCCATGTGTCTGTGTCAGACAATACAAATGCAGTCTTTTTTAATAAACCTCATTCCTAATGTCTGAGTTTGAATAAAGGAAGACAAAGGTCGAAAATAATGAACCCAGTGGGTGTTGGGGTCACACATCCTTTGCACTGTGAGAGCCTGTGTGTTTTATTAAAAACTGGGTGAACATTTCTGCATTTACTCCAGCCTCTGAATCGAAGAGGCTGAGCCCCCAGACTACAAAGCAACCGGAGCTGAACACAGGTACTTGATTCTGTGGGTCAGGTGTCCAACTTCCATATTCTTGCTCACCTTCCCATGAATAAAACACAAAGGAGAAGCAATTGTCTTTCTAGTCCATATTCTTGTCAAGTGGATTCCTCCTTCCCTTAGCTCACACCTGTCAGCCCTGCCTCCACCTCCTGCCACAGCCCAGGCACTTCCTGGGTGGCACTTGTCACACCTGTTCCCCCAGGAAGGGCACAGCAGGCTTGCACGTACGAGTTCCCCCACCCAATCCATTCTCCAGGTGGCTGCCAAGAGCTCTTTGAAGAGGAAGGTTCTGTCACTCTGTTCCATAAAATACTTGAGAGGTTCTTGGCCAAGAGAATGGAATTTCAGTTTTTTGTTTGTTTTTTGTTTTTTTTAGATATATATTTTATTGATTTTTTACAGAGAGGAAGGGAGAGGGAGAGTTAGAAACATCAATGAGAGAGAAACATCGATCAGCTGCCTCCTGCACACTCCCTACTGGGGATGTGCCCGCAACCAAGGTACATGCCCTTGGCCTGAATCGAACCTGGGACCTTTCAGTCCGCAGGCTGACGCTCTATCTACTGAGCCAAACCGGTTAGGGCTGGAGTTTCAGTTTTTAAGTGTGAGCCCTTGACTGCCCACTTCTTTACGAGTAAATCTGTTTCCTACCACAAGCAACAGATGCCTGGCTCAACTCTGAATCCCCCCACAGACCTACCTGGCCCCCGTTTGTGATGACCATGGTCCAGGCGAGAGCTCTTCCTCCCCTCTCCTATGTGGCTGGCAGGACCTTCCATCGGCCAGAGCCTTCATAAAATAGCACCTCTCTGTTGCCTTCGGTGACTTCAGCCACATTAATCATTTCCATATCGGGTTTCTCAGAATAATTCACCTCACATATTGGCAAATATCAAATGCACATTTTTTCATATTTTGTTGAAATTTGGATGCAATATTGGGCTACATATGCCAATCACCATTGGCCACGGTGTCAATTACAACATTTGGTCTTGCCTGCATACGGGTGTAAGTGGATAGGAGTGAAACCCTAGGGATAATAGTGGGGAGCTCTCTTTTAAGAAATTCTGCATCACCAGCTCTCTTGACCAAAAAGAGAGCAGTATTGGGTATAAAACCCAAATATCAACAACTCTGAATTTAAAAGTGATTCAGAGGAGGGAACCTCAAGATGGCAGCAGAGTAGGTGGAAGCTACACTCACCTCCTTTCAGGACTAAACTGGAATTACAGCTGAAATAAAGAATCATCCTGAATAACCTACTGAAGACGAGCTGAAGAGAAGCCTTGTAACCGTGGATTTACAGAAGCGGCCGCATCGAGACTAGTAGGAAGGGTGACGATGCCAAGAGGACTGGCTCTGCTCCCACAGGTGGTGGATGAGGTTCCAGAGAGGCCTGGGGCCGAAACCCCAAGCCAGGTTCCCCAGCCTAGAGCACCAGAGCCTGTGGAGGTGTCCACCTAACACCCGGCTGTGAAAAAGCAGCAGGGTTTCTGTCCACCAGGGAGAGGCTGAGTCTGGGAGTCTGTGGGAGACACAGGCACCCTCTTAAAGGGCCAATGCACACAATTTTGTACACAGCCACTCACACTGGGCTCTAGCAGAGAGGGCAAGGGGGACTAGAATCACCTAGGGCAGTGGTCGGCTCGTGAGCCACATGCAGTTCTTTGGCCCCTTGACTGTGGCTCTTCCACAAAATACCGACTTCTGCGCACGGGCCACGAAGTTTCAATCGCACTGTACATGCGCACCCGCACGTGGTATTTTGTGGAAGAGCCACACTCAAGGGGCCAAAGAGCCGCATGTGGCTTGCGAGCCGCAGTTTGCCGACCACTGACCTAGGGAAAGTCTAGGAATTGTTGCTCTGGGGAGGGAGCTGTGCTGAGTCATTCTCCCATATCAAAGGTGCCATCTCTCTTGGGTGGAGTGTCCTTGTGGCATCAGCCTGAAGGAGAGCAATGGCCACACCCTCTGGACTCCATCTGTGCGCCCCACCCCCCCCATGTGGAGCTTGTGCCCTGCTGAGGAGTTAGCTGCTTTGGCCAGGCTGTAGGAGTCAGGGAGACGCACAGGTGCCGGGACTGAATGGTCTGACTTTGGGGCAGAGGCCATTACCCCCTTTTCCTGCGAACCCGACTGGCACTTCCCCACCATGAGATCCAACAGAACCACCAGCCCAGTTTCCCACAGATCCAACCAGCAGACTCCGAAGGCCCTGCCTGCCTGAATCCTCGCAGCTTCACCTGCCAAAGTCAGGACAAAACTCAGGAAGACTGAGTCCAGTCACTCTGGAGTGAGGTCCACACCCACCACCACCCCTGAAGCCAGGCCAGCACCTCCCCTGGCAGGAAACCACTGGTCCCGTTCCCCCAAGTCTGCCAGGGGCTCTTTCAGTGACTGGGCCTAACAGGCTGCCAACAGGTGGAGGTGGTCTCAGGATGACTTGGGACTTTTGCTGACCTGCCCCTGGAACCAGTACTGGGGGAAAAAGCTGACCGTGGTGTGCAGTTAGGTCCTTCCCATGTGCACCCAAGACCAGCAGAGACAGCCACAAACTATGGGTCACTTGTAGCTCCGAACAGGCTGTTCAGGGCCAGCCACAGACAGCATCTGACATTGGCCTGCACCTGTTCCTCCCCAGAGGGCCAGAACCCACACAGCCCGTGGCCAGCTTCACACAACATGAGAGCAGGACCTAATAAGCCTCACAAACAGCACATCCAAAGGGAGGTCTCAGCAGCACCAGAACCTGCCGAGGCAAATTCTGCTTCATGCGGTCACATCTGCACAACAGCTCGCACACCGTGGCCAGGGCTGAGCCTCACAGTCAGCCAGCCTGAGGGTCAATAAAAATCAACAAACAACAAGTGTTGGAAAGAATAGGGAGAAAAGGGAACAACTCCCGTGCACTGTTGGTGGGGATGCAGATGGGTACAGTCACTGTGGAAGACAATATGGAGTTACCTCAAAAAAATGAAAAATGGAACTGTCTTATGACCCAGCAATTCCACATCAGGGAATACATCTGAAGACACCAGTAACACTAATTCAAAAGAATATGTGCACCCCTATGTTCACTGCAGTGTTCTTTAAAATAGCCAAGATTTGGAAGCAGCCCAAGTGTCCGTCAGTCGATGAGTGAATGAAAAAGCTCTGGTACATTTACACGATGGAGTATTCACCGTTGAAGGAAATTTTACCACTTGAGACAGCATGGATGAACCTGGAGAGTATGCTGCTAAGTGAAATAAGCCAATTAGAGAAAGACAAGTACCATATGATTTCACTTATATGTGGAATCTAATGAGCAAAATAAACTAACAACGTGGAGACAGTCTAGATCAGTGGTTGGCAAACTGCGGCTCGCGAGCCACATGCGGCTCTTTGGCCCCTTGAGTGTGGCTCTTCCACAAAATACCGACTTCTGCACATGGGCTATGAAGTTTCAATCGCACTGTACATGCGTGCCCGCACGTGGTATTGGCACACACAGTCATCTGGTAACACTGAATTTTTAAAAAATATATAAATTATTTATTATTTAAAGTATTACATATGTCTCCAGCACATGCCCTCACCCCCCCTACTGTCTGTCCATGGGTTATGCTCAGATGCATGCATACAAGTTTTTTGGTTGATCTCTTATGCCATCAACCCCCACCTCCGCTCATAGGATGGACAGTCTGTTCGATGCTTCTATGTCTCTGGATCTATTTTTGTTTATCAGTTTATGTTATTCATTATATTCCACAAATGAGTGAGATCATGTGATATTTATCTTTCTCTGACTGGCTTATTTTGCTTAGCATAATGCTCTCCAGGTCCATCCATGCTGTTGCGAATGGTAAGAGTTCCTTCTTTTTTATAGCAGCGTAGTATTCCATTGTGTAGATGTACCACAGGTTTTTAATCCACTCATCTGCTGATGGGCACTTAGGCTGCTTCTAAATATAAATGTTTTTAAAAAACAATAAAAAGCTCAAGCCAATCTGAAACAGTCTCAGGTATGTGGAGGTGTTAGAGGAGGCTGAGACTGAGTGGAAGCCATTTTTGGATTTCATAATGTGATCTTGCTGTTCTAAAATGCATGTTTCCTCTCCAAATGAGGAATCCATTTCCTATAGGGACTTGTTTTCCTGGAATTGCAATGCTTAGTGCTGTCCCTCTACCCAGGCCTGGGATCGCTGAAGTTATCCTGAGTCTACCTTTCTTCCCACTGTGGAGCAGGGTGGCAAAAGTGAGTGCTGAGACGAAGGTTTTTAAAAATATTTTTTTATTGATTTTAGAAAGAGAGGAGGGAGAGCGATAGAGAGATGGAAACATTGATGAGAGAGAAACATCAAATGCAATCACTTCTAAATATAACAAGCCACAGCTTTACCTGTTATTGTTCCTGTACCAGTAATATAAGGTAACATATCAGTCATGCCGTTGGCTTTACGCTCAGGCTCAGTGATGAGGCTTCTGGGTGTTGTTTCCAATACGCCATAATTACCAAGGAGACACTGAATGGAATTTCACACTATACCATTTATTAAGATAGCTGCTTTGTCTAAGTCACAGCACTTGTAATGTGCTATAATCTTTATACGTGTATGAGCCTGGATATACATTTTTTTATTAAACGTCTATGATAACCTTAACCCAATCATTCATTCATTTCAATATTCACTTATTCATCATGATCTTTTCTTCTCTTTAGTGCTTCAGGAAAATGGGCTCATTTCAGGCTTAAACGCTTTCACATTTTTTACCTGCTGACTCCCCGAGCCCTCACATCCAGGGCTCCCACCCTTCCCAAGTTCTGCCAAGGATGTTGGGGTCTGTTGCCTGGTCAATCAAGCACTTCACTTGAGCCTCTTCCGAAAGTCCACTCTCTGGTTCTTGGGCACGAACGTTGTGATCCTTGTTTCCTCGTGCGACAGCAACAAAGTCATCAAAGGCAGGTACCTTCTCATGGCCCAGAAGCAACTCATCACTGAAGAAATAGTAAACAAATACAAAAGCATAAACCACTCATTATTTTCCCTTTGTTGCCTGCATTCCTAGCTATCAAGCATTCCCTTTCATCACTTATAGAACGTTTCTGTTGCTCATAACCTTGAAGTCAAGAGACTCAATTTGTAGAAAAATAGAACATGGATAATGTTGCTATTAATGTTTGTCTACAAGCTTTTGTGTTGGTACGTGCTTTCATTTCTCTCGGGTGAATACTGAAGAGACAAACTGAAGACTCAAATGGCAATTCTATGTTTAAATTTTTGATTAACTGCCAACTGCATTTTCCACAGCGGTTGCACCATTTTACCTTTCTACCAGCAACATATGAGGGCTCCAATTTTTCCACATCCTCGCCACCACTAGTTGCATGTCATTACTTTTTATTAGTGGGTGTGAAGTGGTATCTCTGATGACTAATGACGTTGAGCATTCATTGGTAAAATGAGGTTATAGGGCTCACATCACAGGCTACATGTAAAGCTCTTAGCACTTCCTACAGTAGGTAGTAATTCTTCAGGAAATGCTAGCAGATGGTGTTTTGTTTGTTTTTTTTCCCCACAAATGATAATCTTACCAAGTAATAACTGCTGGATTGGCACCTGTTAACTTTCTCTTAGCATAATATATTTTCTGCCGGGGATACCAATTTTTTTCTGTTACATTTATTTCTCGAATCCACGATCCTCCTTTTTTCAGCATTTTCTGTTCAAAATTCTAAAGGAAAAGAACATGATTTTCTTTGCTTACTATAACAGTACATTTGATCACATCCAAACAGATAAAACAAGTCATGATCTTAAACTAAACAACTTTGTAACTGGGAGGAGCTCTATAGCTTTTTATGCAGATTCTAATGGTAGTAACACAATAGTGACAATGATCTTGAGGAATCATGGTCAGGCTTAAAACATCACTCCTGCCCTAGCCGGTTTGGCTCAGTGGATAGAGTGTTGGCCTGTGGACTGAAGGGTCCCAGGTTCGATTCTGGTCAAGGGCACATGCCCGGATTGCAGGCTCGATCCCCGGTGGGGGGTGTGCAGGAAGCAGCCAATCAATGATTCTCTCTCATCATTGATGTTTCTCTCTCTCTCTCTCTCTCTCTCTCTCTTTCTACTCCTTCCTTCCTCTCTGAAATCAATAAAAATATATATATTTTTAAAAATCACTCCCTATGTAAAGGGTGTCATTGCTAAGCTTCATTCTTTTGGGGCTGTGTTGTAAAGAACCCTTGAGATTTAAAAAAGTACTGTTTGTCTTTATGATCAAGGAAGACCTCATATGGAGCAGATTTTAAAATAAAAGCTGTCTCCAAGAGAAATCGAACCCACCATTAATGGGTTCATGCTTCCTCTCCTAGTTAGAAAGACACTCAATTGAAACAATAGCTTTGTCCAAATAAAAGTTATGTTTCTTATCTTATTTTCAAGCCAAATGATTTCCAACTGTTATTTTCGTGAAATGCTCTATAAAATCATGTAAATATTTCAGGGAAACATTTTGATGCATTTCCATCGTATCAATTACTAGCACATTATAATACAAGTGGAAGTGCATATAAACCACCCTACTTTCCAGTCGAAGGAAGGTTCCTTTACAAACACGTCCATGGTGGTCGTGAGCAGGTCGGGGTGTGAGCGGAAGGCTCTCAGTGCGTGCACCATGACACTGTACATAACTCCTGTTTCTTTCATTGGTAACATCAGATTGATAAATTGGCGAGTTAGACGAAAAGGCATCAGCTCAGGGACTGGCAGAAACTAAAGAGAAAAACATACACACAAGAAACAGGATATATTCACTAGAAATCTCAAAGTAACAGGCACAAACAAAGCATCTTCCCGTAGTTACTATTCACATTTAGTGAGAACATGAACTCTACTTTTCTCAAAATCAGATCCACAGAGAGGAATGCACTGTGCCCACGAGTAACCAACAGTCATCCCTGCGATGCCACCCCCTCCGTGCACAGACCACGCAGCCTGCAGACTCAGAAGTGCGACTTCAAACAGAGTTCAGTGTCAGAGAAAACACTGGCATCAGATCCTGCACAAGACATGCCGACTATGGAGCTTCATAAAACTCCTTAGAGCAGGGGTGGGCAAACTTTTTGACTCGAGGGCCACAATGGGTTCTTAAACTGGACCGGAGGGCCGGAACAAAAGCATGGATGGAGTGTTTGTGTGAACTAATATAAATTCAAAGTAAACATCATTACATAAAAGGGTACGGTCTTTTTTTTTTTTAGTTTTATTCATTTCAAACGGGCCGGATCTGGCCCGAGGGCCGTAGTTTGCCCACGGCTGCCTTAGAGTCTTCCTTTTTTATAGGAGCACATTTTATTCTTAGTTCTGATCGCAGTTTGTCTTCACACCTTGTATAACCTGCCTGACCCAGGCTGAGAACATCCCTTTCTGCAAGAAAGTTAAATGAATGTTCATGACAAAGCTGACCCCACTGACCCAAAGCTGTCACTTCTTCTTTGAAAACTGTCCATTGCCAGAGGGCGTTACAAGGGCCTAAAACAACTGTAAATTAGCCAAGAACAATGAGAGCGCGAGGAGCACACCTGCGTAGCTGATCCAAAGGCATGTCCGAAGTCAATTCCGATCATGCCACCCGTCTCCATGTTCACCATGAAATTGTTCAGATGTCTGTCTCCGATGCCCAGAATCCAGTGGCTGATGCACATCAGAGCATGAGAGCTGGCAAAGTGGGAGCGGAGCGCCAGGAAGGCCTCCGGGCCGGCGCTCATCTTCAGAAAGGCGCGCCTGGGAGAGGGGACAGAGCTGGGGTCCTCACTGTGCTAACAGTGCCTGGGAGAGGGGACACCGCTGGGGGT